ATGGCCAAAGGTAAATACAATCCGATATTTTTGTGCATTTTTGAAATTGATTTAGAATTTTAAAACAATGCCTGTAATGTTCTTATTACTAAAGTATACAACAAATTTTTTTAGGAACATGCAATTGAAGCTCGTTTAATGCATATTGTACATGCAATTGAACACAAAGAATGGCCTGTATCTATAAATTTTAGCGCTGGTGATGAATCAGATGTACTTTCAAATGAAAAAGAATGTTCAGAAGTTATAACTATAACTACAGATCATGGAATATCACGTAATACAACAAGTGGAAATAATATCTCACAATCTAAAAAACGAAAAAGACATATTGCTATTGATGTAGAAACTGAAAGAGGTAAACTTAATAAAAATTAAATTAAAGATTGTTTACTTAAAAAAAAATTAATAAATTCTTTTCGGTATTTTTAGCGAAACTTCATGCATTATTAAATAGTAGTAGTCATACAGTTACTCAATCACCTGCGACTTTAAGTAAGCCTGCTGTGTTGTCTGGATCTAATACGTGGGAAATAAATGATGAATCACAATCGGAAGAATCGAGACGTTCGACGCCAGTTCAACCACCTCCAGCGCATCAGCAAACACGAACACCAAATATACCTTTTGATTTAAAATATACAGTTCCTGGAAAACCAACAGTAATTCCTGGAACTTCAAGTACTTTAACTCCCATAGATTTATCTGCTGGGTATGATTTAATTTTCTATAAATTTATACTTAATATAATCCATGTTTTTTATCATTTATTTATATAATATATACATTTTAGATATCCAAAAACAAGCACAGATAATAATAAAGATATTATGAATGAGGTTCAAGATTTTTCAATGCCAAATAAGAACAAACAAATTAGTAGTAATAAAGGGAAATTAGATAGTATGTTAGATAAATTAATGAAAAGAAAAAATTGTGTATGTATGAATATGTAAACTATTTAGTTGATTATTTATATAAACATTTAAATATAATTAACAACTAAAAATTTATTACTAGCCAACGGATGAACCTATAATTGGAAAGGAGAAAAAGCGGAGAAAACTTGACGAAATAGTATTGGGATTAAGTGCAGCAAAAGAGCAACAAAGTAGTCACTATCCTGAACATAGTAAAAAAAGTACAATTACACCAAATGTAACTGTTACTCCAACTTCAGCGCCGATAGGGCTTCCAAATCCTCCAACAAGTACTCAGAAACCGTTTTCCATTACTGTTACTTCGATTCCTTCTTCACGGGCATCAAATTCGACTTCTGGTTTACCACCTCCATCATTACATTCACATAAAGATAGTTTTTCTTCTTTACTTGTTCAAGCAGAACAACAAAATCGTGAATTTAAAAAACAACAGCAACATCAACAACAATCTCAGCAGCAACAGCAGCAACAACAGCAACAATCAAATTTCAATTCAACGCATTCGTCATCAGCAGCTAGTCATAAAAAGAGTTATGAAGCAATGATTGCAGATATCAATAAAGTCGCTGAATATTCTTCTAAAATCGGATCTTACTCTCATGAAGCTAAAGTGAATAAATGGTTAGCTGAGCAAACTGCTATGTCTGAACAATTAGGTGCAGAATATTTAAATGCACCGAGACGAAGACGACCGCGTGTTGATCCATCCTTATTAGATTGGAAAAAATTAACTGGAGAAGAGAATGTCGCTGTAATTAATAGATTAACAGGCAAAAAGGTTTGAATACAAAATTTTATTTTTATCTATATCACATACGTATTTGAATAAATTATATAAACACAATTTAATTATATGTATTTTTGTATACTTACTACGTATTTTATATACTATATATGTATATTTATTATATATATGTATTATACATACATTTATATATTGTATATACATGTATTATATACATATACATATATAATGTAATGTACTTATATCTATTTTAGGTAACAGGCAGTAAAGCACCACAATTAAAACGATTAGGTCAATGGTTGATTGAGAATCCAATGTTTGATGTTGATCCAAAATGGGCTGAACTGGTGAAAGAGCGCGGAAACCTTCCACACGATTTACAAAAAAGATTATCAGGAAATGATAGAAGTTATGTTAACAAGGGTAAAAGTCCAGGAAGACCTCCTATGATGCCAAGTCCTACTAGTCAGCAGTCTACGAATCAAGCTAATCTAGCAGCTACATCAATGGCTTCGGGTTTAAACTTCCCCTCGTTGGGTAATTTAAATAACTCTCTTTTATCTAGCCTTTCTCTTGGAAATTTCGATCCAAAGAACAATCCTCTTTTAATGCCGTTTGGTGGTTTACCCAATCTGGGTGCATTGAGTGGACTGGGCAATCTAAGTAACCTAAGTAATATGAGTTTAACGAATTCTTTATTCGCAAATCTTGCTGGTCTTGGTTTACCATCGTTAGCTGGTATGGAAGCTGCTTTAGGTGCAACAGTAACCAGCACAGCAGCCGAAACCAATCCTGTTGTTAGCTCTGTCAGCAGCAAAAATACAGGTTCGACTAATATTAGCAGTGCTAGTAAATCATCTCGCAGTAAATTGGAGCCTCCTACAAGTAAATCTACGGTGCCTTCAACTTCATCAGCATCTTCTACGATATCAACAACGACACCATTCCCCTTCTTTTTCCCAAACCCCAGTCTTTTGTACACACCGTTGGGTTTGGGTGGTTTAAATCCATTCTCAATGCAACCTGGTGGAGTATCATCGGCCTATGAAAGTCTTGCCCAATGTGGGCTTTTAAATCCATCCACTTCGAGTGCCTCAGCAGTACGTAAACCTGCGTCTTCAGCAAGTAACTCGAGGCAACGTGATACAATTACTGAATCAACGAGTAAACGAAAGGATACAGAGAAAAAATCTAGGTATTCTATTGACCCTGCAATAACATTGCAGCAGTACACGGATATGACGTTACACAATGAAGAAAGACGAAAAACAGAGCCAGAAAAACGAGAGATCTTGGAACAGAACGATGTGGCAGATCTTTCTGAAAGACGAATAGAAAGGAAAAATAAAGAACAGGAGATGAAAGAAGCGCTGGAACATTTAAGTAGAACTAGTGCAGAACTTTTAACAAGAAATCTAGAAGATCAACGACTGAGTGAGAAAAAAAATCGTAACGTAGAGCATAATCAGAGTTCAGAGCAACAAACTTCAAATATGCTTGAAGTAACTCTTGAACCAGTCAATAAGAAACCAAGAGTTGAAATTGAAGTTAGTACACGGCCGACTGCCGTAACGACTACAGTGACTTCAGCGGATGTAACAACAGTTGAAGTAGAACATGGAACGCGACCATCAAATACAACAATCAAACCAAGTTCTGCAGAAGAAAACACATTCAGTGAAACACTTTTGAGCACTAGTAATAAAAAGGAAGTTGATGAAACAGCTACCGCAGTGACAAGTGTCTCGACTGCAGTTATGGTTCCAGTTGCATCTACTGCTATGCCTACATCTACACCCACACGTACACCAACGCCTACATCTACGCCTACATCTACGCCTACATCAACGCCTACATCAACGCCTACATCTACACCTACATCTACACCCATACCCACACCTACGTCCATAGTTACACCTACATCTACAACATCGATAACAACAGAAGATGCAACAACCTCACAACAGAACACTACCAATACTAAAAATGATGTGTCGAAACTTCCGTCAGAAATAGAAGAAGATAATAAAGGTACTAAAGGGAAGAAAGCACGAAGTGGAAAGCGACTAAGTATAGAACCCCCTCCAGAACGAAAAAATCTTCGTTCTAGTGCTGGGCGGCAAGCGAGGGCAGCGGCAGAACGGCAAGCAAGAATGGAAGGTGAACTGCAATCAGATCAACAAGACACTCATACAACAAACGAGTGAAGTGAATTTTTTTAAAGTGAGTTCTAAATAATATTAGTGTTATTAATGATCAAATCTTCCGTTGTTGCGATTATTTTTATTGCAAACTTCTGCAGTGTATTCGCACAACGATTAACAGAAAATCATCGATTCATAAACATTTATATACATGAATGAATCAGTGAAACGACAATTCTTAATTAAATAAAGCACAAGTGCATTCAAGAGACTTGAAAGAAAGAAAGAAAAAAACATTTATAAAATTTGATTTTTCCTTCCAGTTTATATGGAAATAAAGGGACGGATATAAGTAAACCATGTACACATTACCATTGCTATCATTGTGAATGTATAACATTGAAGCTGTTAAGTATGAAGGCTGCAAATAGTATTTTATTATCCGATATATTGTGTGGTAATTAACTTTTAATTATATAACATTACAATAACAAAATATAATTTTGTTAAATTTATTATTCTTTACGATCTTTATTGGTTTTGACGAGGGACTGTTTTATATAATTGCTATCTGCGTAGTTACGTAATTGCGTAGTTACGCAATTTGCGGATCATTTAAACATAAGATATAATCATAATGTAGTAAAGTAAATTTAGTAATAACTTAATAAAAAAAAAAAAAAAACTGTAAATATTATATACATTATGCTTAGAGACTATAAGTGATTGTGTACTTGGAGAAATGTATATAACACAGTGTACTTTTAATTACATTAGGTGATACAATAAACAGCTTTTTTTGTTGTTTGCAAATGCCAACATTAGAATCTTTGTTTTTGATAATTATGTACACCTTTAATAATGAACAGCCTTATAAAAAAATAAGTTTTGAATTGTATCAATAAAATCAGTGGAGAATGTGCATGGATATGATCTAAATCTAAAAGTATAAAACGTTTTAAGTATATTTTAGCGAATTGTTTCTAATTATTTTTATCGCTTTATTAATAAGAATTAATAAGAAATTTTAAATAAAAACTGTTCATTTTTATTACATTTTCTTTAAAATCATAAACTGCCATATATCAATTAAGGCACTAAAGGAATACGCTTATTTATAAATTGTATTTCATGAAATAACAGTAGTGTAATTGTGAAAAGAACTTAATATAATTTAATATCAAATGTATTTTAATTTTTCACAAACATCGATTTTTAAAAGAATATATTGTGAAGTAATGGATTCTCTTGCAAAGTATTATTTCTTACAGCGGTTGCGATACAATACGCAAGTAAGATTTGCCCGATGGTAATGGTACAGTTTTAATATTGTTAAACAGCGTTTTTGCTTCCTCATCAGAAACAGTAGGCTGAATCATCACCTGATCACCCGTCTAAAAATCATAATACAAAGTTAACAATCTTTTGTAGATGTTTTAATAAATAAATAAGTCATAAATACAAACCTTCCAATCAACTGGAGTTGCTACTTTATGCTTCTCAGTTAATTGTAATGATTCAATAACACGTAAAATTTCACTGTGTTCAAATGTTATATTAATAAATATAATAATAATAATTTTGAATTTTAAAAACTTAAAAATGAAGTTACTCGAAATTTCTTCCAGTGGTTGCAGGATATAAAATTGATAATCGCATCTTTTTAGCAGGATCAATAATGAATACTGCTCTGGCAGTCATTGGTATACCATAATCATCAACTTCTGCAGGATCTAACATTCCCAATAAAGTAGCGAGTTTTCGCGTTTCATCTTCCACTATCGGGTACGGAAATTCCTTATCAGTTTCAGCATAAGCCTTTATATCCTAAAAAATGATTGTTTTTTCAATAGTTTTATTGCTTTCTTCTTTTTTTTTTATTAGTAGTATATCCTGAATAGAAAGATTATATCGAAAAACATACTTCTATCCATTTTCGATGAGAATCTACTGAATTACAAGATAGTGCAATAACTTTTACACCAAGCTTTTCAAATTCTGGCATCAATTTTATCACGCGAGCTAATTCTGTTGTACATACTGGCGTAAAGTCATTTGGATGAGAAAATAAAATTCCCCATCTGTATGAAACATGAATTAATTTTTTATAATTTTAATAAAATTTTGCACTTTGAGAAAAATTATGTTTGTCATTTATAAATGATGCAAAATGAATAATAAATAATGTGTACAAATATAAATTATCAGCAAAAACTAATTATTTAAAAATAAACAATTTAGTTGCTCTGTATATAAAATACACATACACACATATATATCAGTATATATTACTGTATGATAAATATATTAATATATATTAAAAAAATGTTACAGAAAAATATTAAAGGTTATGTTATAAAAATAATATTGTCTTACGAATCAGCTAGCCATTCATGAAAATTAATTGAACCCATTTGCGTGTCGGCTATAAAATTTGGAAACGTTTCACCTAATAAGACCATTTTAACATTTAAAAAGTATTTTTAAAATTAATTACTATTACAATTTTGATATAAAACAGTAAATTGTTATGCAGATAAATGTATGGATTTGGAAATGTGACTATCACTGATAATAAGAGCGTTAATCATATAGCTGTACAGTTTGAAATATACTCAGAAAATACAAGAAACTTCAATTTGATATTTTTAAATTAATTTATATAATACTTTTCATACATATCAATTAATCTGATAATCAATTTTATCTATTGATTTATATTTAATTTTAAATTTGAATTTTTATTTTTATATAATATAGCTTATAAAAAATATTTATAAGCTTTTAATGCAGGACTTAGAAATTTCTGTTAATTAAATATTATAATGTATAAAACAATAACAATTCTGATTTCTGCGATTTAAAACGGTGGACATGAATAAAATCAAACATTGACCAAACCAAATATAAAAATATATCATTGTATTGTAATATAAATACTGTATTACTATAAAATTTTTACATTATATTCATGATTATAAAATATTACGAATTTATGGCTCCAGCAACATTTAATTTCAATTCTTTTATATCTAATATCATCTAGTTCTGTTAAATTCTTATATTCTTAGAAATAAGATAATGATAACATAAAGTTTAATGATAGGGTTATTTTATGCTTTATCCACGGTATTTTATTCACTATATAGTAACTTTTGTACATTGAATTACTGCACCCTTGAGTGTGAACATAGTATATGGAGTACATAATTGTAAAAATATAATTGTACAATTTTCAAAAATGTGTACTAGATTCTCTTTAAATTTTATTACTATTGCAACTAAATTTCATTCGAATGTTTTTTTTATTCAATCAGTTCATAAATTCACGGTATCACTACCCAAATATTCACAAACGCACGTAATAACACGAGGTTATAGCTTAACAACGGCCTCAGTAAGTAAATATTATGAAAAATTAGACGAAGAGAAATTAAACAATCTTCTGAAAGATCCAAAATATAAAGCTTTGTACGATACTTTGAGTTTAGAGATAGAGTACACAAAGTATCAAACAGGAAATGTACCTTCAAAATTAACTGCGACTAATTGGTTATTTTTATTAAAAACAACAACAAAAGGAGAAAGAAGGTAATATTTTCAATTTTATATAATTATTAAAATATATAATTAATCATTATAAAATTTATTCATATTTTAATTTTGTTTTATGTTTTGTAAATATTTAGATCTTATATAGCTTTTCTTTTCAAACTAGAAAAGAAACAAGAACATCAAAAGCAGAAATTGTTAGAAGAGAAAGCTAAAAGAAGCGAAAACAGAATAAACGATGAAAATAGGATATATGGATTGGGTAAATGTACATTGTTTCATCGTATAGTTGAAAGAACAATGAATGATTTTTATAATAGTAGATTAATAAACGCTATGTTATATGAGCCAGCGTTAGTATTTGATCTTGGTTTTGAAAAACATATGTCTCAAGTTGAGCTATCGAATTGTTCAAAACAACTGTTACTTTCATTCTCAATAAATCGACAACACATCAGTCCCTTTAATCTATATTTTTGTAATGCTAGTACAAATAGTGATATTATGAAAAAATTACATAAAACAATACCAAATATGTACAATCCAGAATTTCCATTAAATATGACTTCAAAATCCTATTTGGAAATATTTGATAAGAAGAAATTAATATATCTTACTCCTCATACTAATGAAATTATGACACACTATAATCCTGATCTGGTATATATAATTGGTGCAATAGTAGACAAGGTAATTGTTCCTGTTATTTTATGTAGTTTATTTTAAACATTTATTATTTTCTTGTATAAATACATAGAAAGTAATAATAATGAAATGAAAATTAGACTATAAATTTAAATTAAATATATTTATTCATGTTTATTAACATAATAAAATATAATAGTAATAATAATAATAATAATAATAATAATAATAATAATAATAATAATAATAATAATAATAATAATAATAATATAAAATATTTTCAGAGACATGTTCTACCAATTTCATATCAGAAAGCTAAGAAAGAAGGTATTAAAATGATGAAGTTTCCTTTAGGTGAAGTATTGAATTGGGGAACAGGATCTTCAAAAAATCTTCCTCTCAACCAAGTTCTTTCTATCATGTTAGATTTAAAACATACTAAGAATTGGGATATAGCATTTAAAAATATACCGAAGCGAAAATTACAAGATTCAAGAGAAGAGGTCATGAAAAGGAAATTGATGCAAAAAATAAGCTTACAACGTGCAAAAAATTCTAAGTTAATGAATAAAGAGAATAAAGAGACTCTTGTCATAAATTCAAAATAAAATAAACTTTAAATATAAATTATTTTATAGTTATCAATTTCAGTAAATAAATAATTTTTACTTATATTACAGAACTTTACTTATAATACAGAAGAAAATTTTTGAAATGTACTTAATATACATATATAATTATATAATTAACATATATAATTAATATAAAAATAATATATGTATGTATGTATGTATGTATGCATGTATGTGTGTAATGTTACATACATTATCAATATGATATCCATCTAAATAGATACACATACATATACACATATATATATTAAAAACTAAGAAGAGTATAATAAAAAAATGTTATCATTATAAATATTATTTATTGATATTAAAAATAATAGATAAATAATTTAATATTATCTGTTGTTTAATATATGTATCATAAAATGATATTATATTATATAATATATATGTATACAGGATAAAGTAGATAAAATGTTACAAATTGCTTTCTTCGAAACTATTGTAGATACTAATTAGAAGAATTAGAAAAAAATATGATGTAATTGTGTATATTAATAGTTAATTGTATTCTTAAATAATTCCATTTTTAATATTTTCAATTTTTAAATTTTATACATTTTATAAAAATTTGTAATGTAAAATCTATTAATCTTATTTTAAATCTTTAATATCTTTTTACATTCTTTTGTTTCATTGTTTGTGAATCAATTTTTTTGATTCAATAGTTACAAAGCTAATTCTTAAAAAGTACTTGTATATAGTATGTAGTAATGTTTTTAGTGTCTTTTTAATACGAGAAATCCTGATCTATGAAAGGTTAGTGTGTCCAAAAAGTTGGAATTAAAAGTAAAGTTAAGAAAAGTACATTTATATGAGCAACAGGTATAAAAGATTACATTTTCTTTTGTTATTTAATTTTAATTAAATTTTTAATATTTACAAAGTCTTTTATGTAGATTGTATGTACGAATTATTAGAATAACAAACCTTAAAGAGCTTAACCTATATTGATTGAACTTTGAAATTAAAACTTTCTTATTGATTGTAAATGACATGATATCTCATGACGAGATAAAAATTGAAGTAGTACCAATAAATGGAGAAAGAATCGAAGGGAAAGAAGAAACTGTTGTTTTTGTTGAACAGTTTGTCAAGGATGTATGTGACTTTAGTTCCCAATATGGAAGTAATATTAGTATTTCCTATACAGCTTATAATATTGCTGGGAATCCAAGTAAATTTCCTGACTACGGGGATTTTCCACAAGCTTTTGTTATGGTATGTTAATTTTTTGAAATGCTAAAATTATTAAATAAACAATGCATGAAAAAAAAATTGTAAACAATGCATGTACTTCAACATGTTATTCCATTTGTAGTTTTATAGATCACCAAAAATGTTAATAATACTTTAATTTTAACAAATGTAGCATTTTGAAAATAATTGAGAATATATACAGTATTAAATTGAATAGTATATTTTGTATCTGGCAATTTTAGGTTTATTGTAATCATGATAAATTCTCAAAATTGTTACAGTTAAAATACTACAAAAGAATTATTTGTAACATATTATTTCTTTTTAAAATTAATAACAAAAATATTTTATATCTTCATAATCATGTTATATTACGACTAACAAATTATAATTTTAGAGAACATATGGACAATGGTGGGACAAAGCACCTTCAAGATTAATAGATTATATGCCACAGAATAATGTAAATGTTGTAAGTCAGGATTATATAGGTATATAGTATTTAATTTAAGAATTAAATACCTTTTAGCATTTAATATTCGTATTGTAATATTTCAATTACATTTAGTAATATTTTGTTTTTATTCTTAAAGATATTTTTAACTTATTGGAATATTGTACTGATACCATTAATACTTACGATGTATGAAAAATGGAAATAAATTAGAATATTTTTTATATTATCAAGATCTAGAATATTATCAAGAGGTATATCCAATTAGAGTATCAATATATGAAACTTACAATCCTGGAAGTGTAATTGGAATTTGGGCACAAAATTCTGAAGGCAAATGGTATCAATTATGGAATGGATTTCCTCAAGTTGTGCCACATAAACCAAGAATATTTTCTCCACACTTGAAACTATGTAATTTTAAGACAAAAATGATAAGATTGGAATTTAATCATAGTTTATTAGACTATTATACAGAGTTAGATGCTGTATTACTTATTGGTACATCAGAATTAATTGTACCTAATAACTTGCGTAATCAAAATCTGAATGATCTTTCTAAAGAATTGGGCTACCTTAAACAAAGTGATGATGATATTTATAATTTAACACCAGATTACTTAAAGGCAAATCAGGATTTAACAATTCTTAAAAAGACACTTTCTAAACATTGCACACTTTTTAAAAGGTATATTGATATTTTAAAGGTTCATTGATGTTTTATTATTCTAATCAATTAATGCACATTATTTATAAATAAAATATTACAGCAGGGTAATTGATAATATATCCAAAGGCAAATTAGTATCTAAACTAGGACAACACTATCAGTCTGTACCTCCTATAGAAGAAGCATTCAAAAGTTTACAACAATTTTTACAAGAAGATTTTCCAAAACTTATTAGAGATATTCATCATTCGATACCAAGTACCATAAATGAACAAAATAACTCACTTCAAGAAAGTTTTTCAGTATCTTCAACTGATTTTGAAAATCAACCATGTGGTAGTTTCTCAGCACTTCCGGTAAACTATAATATTAATTATTTCATTTGTTACATATTACATAAATTTAATTTATTTAAATTACAGGATGAAACAGTACTAAAAATTTTGAAGAATTTAGATTTAAGATCATTATGTTGTTTATGTAGAGTAAATAAACATTTTAACAACATTGCAAGGGATGCTTTGTTGTATACGAGTCTTAACTTAAAACCTTACTGGTATTGTTTAAATACATCTGCATTAAATAGTTTAGCACCTAGATGTCATTATTTACAACAACTAGATCTTTCGTGGTGTGGAAATTATAATATGATCAAATATCAAGATTTTATATATTTTCTTCATACATCTGGAACTGTTCTGACTCATTTAAGACTTAATTGTTGTCAATTTGTAAATGATGCTATTATCCTCGAAATTTCAAAAATATGTAAGAATTTAAAAGGTATATATAAATATATTACTTTAATCCTTTTATCAAACATTTAAAGATTATCTGTTGAAAATATATATTATTTTTAGAACTATGTTTATGTAATTGTATGGGTGTGACAAACGAGGGATTTTCAAAGCTTGAAAATTTAAGGTTTCTCGAACGTTTGGAACTTTATAGAACAACTATTGAAACTTCAACATTATGTTCCATTTTAAGAAAGAACACGCAAATGCGACATTTAAATTTGGCAGGAATGCATGACCGTTTAAATATAGATGAAGTTGCTGTCGAATTAGGAAATTCTTGTCCATATTTGGAAAGCGTAGATTTTTGGAAAGCACAGACATTAACTCCACATGGAGTTAGAGCTTTGTCTCACTGTACTAAACTTCGAGAAGTAGATTTTGGATGGTGGTATGTTCTTAAAAATATTATACCATTTATGTACAGTTAATTTAATTATTTAATGATTAATTAAATTTTATCATTCATGCCATTATTCTCTTTACAGTGGTGGAATGGGCGCTCCAGGTGATTCTCTACGAGCATTATTGTTTTCTTGTCGTTATCTTGAAAAAGTATTTTTAGCAGCACTTAGAGGATTGACAGATCGAGACTTAGAGCCACTTTTACTGTGTCAACGGCTGCAGCAATTAGACTTATTAGGAGCACGTTCTCTTACTCCTGATATATGTTATGGAATTTTATTGTTTTGTCCAAAATTAGAAATGATTGATCTTAGTTTTTGTGAAGGTATTAATGATTTCATAGTGCAAGAATGGCGTCAACAATACCCTCATGTTTCTATTAAAAGAAGTTTTCAAGTAACCAACTCTGATATTGTATAATAAACATTCCATGATATTTATTACGTCGATTGTTATATATACTACAATATTTTAAATATAAATAGCGTCAAATTTTATAAGATTAAAGATTAAAGCTATGAAGGCTGTAATATTATTGTATATAAGAAAATTATCTATACGTTTGTATTCATTTTTATGTAAAAATATATATAAATATTATATACTTATATGTATAGTAGTAGTTCAATTTTTGTAGTATATCTCTACATGTAAATATTTATATATATGACGCTGTAATCACATAAAAAATCGATATATCGCTAAAATAATGGCGACAAAGCGGTATAAAATATATAATCTAAATACCACAAACGCAATGAAACATATCTGAACTCATTTAGACATAAAATAGCAATCAAGTAAATCATCATAAATGATCTTTCTATAAAAAAAAATTAGTTTCTCATCTTTTATAATTACAATCATTTCTCTCGTAATCCCCAAAGCAAAACAAATTTTAAAATTTGATATATTATTATTTTTATATTTTGTATAAAATTAAATATATTCTCTCCAAATTCAACTGTAATAACTCAATAATTTCAAGATTCGAAACGATGACTTATACTTGCATCAAACGTGTCGTGCACAGATGAAAAGATCCCTGAAAAGAATGTGGATCTGGTTGGTTATTTCCATTCCATTCTTTAATTTGTGAATATTGGTTGAGAATGTCACGCAGAACAAACAAAACCTAGTGGGTCGATTACTGAGAGAAGGAACTGCTTCCTTTGCATGGGACTTTTAATTTTTGTGCATAGATACAGCTATATATACTGAAAATATACAATTTGCAATTCGTCAGTAGATGGTACTAAAGATGAAATTTCTGTAGCGGATGATTTTATGTATAATGTAAGGTTATAAAGGATATAAAAGGTGGAGTGTATTTCGTCTTAGAATCACCGCCAGATTCATCAATAGGGCTGATGCCGGCGACTCCTAAAATCTCAGACGCTCGGTTTATTTTACGAACATCTAGCTTGGGCTAAGAAACTACATCCATCCTAGAGATGTTCCGTACGCTACACGCTTAACCTAAAGATCGCACTTGATCTGTAGCTAAACGGCATCGACTTACGTTTTGTAATATTCGTGTCTTTGGAACTGGTACACTAAGGAAAGACTGGATGTGCTAGCCGCTAGAGGCATATAGTGATTATGATGATTTATATTTATATCACAATACTATAAATAAATAATAACTCCGTAATTAATTTTAGTTGTTTATATAAAAATATTATCAATATCACAAAATATACAATTACTAATAATTAATGAAGATTACATAATGGAAGTTAAATGACGAATAAAGAATTTCTACTACGGCTACAATATATATGTGTCAGTAAACATTTCCATGGTGATAATAAAATTACTAACAATTTTTAAATATTCTATTGTTTATATTAAATACACATCTCGACGGAACGATTTAATGAACATAGATATCGTTGATCTAAATACTTCAAAGTAGAGGTCACAATCCCGTAAAACAGAAATTTTCATTTGCGAAAAAAACTAATTTAGAGAAATGAATTGTGAGCTTTTGTGATTGTATTGCCCTGATTAGACCTTTAGCTTCCTTTTTATACCCCACTTGACCGGTAAAATGCAGAAATAAGTATTTTTATAATTAATTAGTACCACTAAGTTTCCGCTAGATGGCGCCACTATGTCCAATTGTGACAGTTCGCACTAATTGCGAGAAAAACCTAATTAACAGGAATAATTTGCGAACTTTTTTATATGCCTCCTTAAAATTAGGCTCCCTGCTTTCTTTCTATGTGTGTTTTGTCCTAAAAGAATATGTATGTAAAAAGTTGAATTTTTTTTTCAATAGATCGAAGAATGTCCTTGTCGCACACTATTGCTTTCCTTGTCTAGCATCATTAGACAAGGATGATACTAGCGTGCGACAAGGACAGACATATTCGCGTAGTAGACAAAGAGGGCAACAGCGTGCGATAAGGACAACAATATAAATTAGTTCCGGGACCTATCCTAAGGGTGATCCACACGATGCATGCTTAATATATGATAATATTATAGACTAGCTATGTCAAGGAGATCTATCGTGTGATTGGTCAATGGTTATATATAATAGATTTAAAAACAGCTGTGCAAGTAGGTGCACGTGGTTAATTTTTCTGGTATAGGTTATGTGAATTATTTAGTAAAAGAATTGTTTTATGTAGTGAGTGTAAAAAATATAATTTTTAAAAATTAAGATGCAGAATAATATATATGTATGCATTTAATTTATTGTATTAAAATAATATTATATAAAATATTGTGTAAAATTATATAAAATAATAAACATAATGAATACCAATTCACAAAGTAAAAAATCATATAATATCAAAAGTGATATCAAGGAAAAAAAGAAGGAAAACGGTAAAAAATGTTACTTTCTAGTATTTTACATCATAAAATAATATTTTTATATTGTAATATTTAAGTTATATTTATGCTTGTTTTCATAATATTGAAATTTTTATCTATTAAATATCATTCTCAATTTGAAGAAATTATTAATTCAAGAAAACAATATATAGATTTTGAACACGGTAATGGTAATATGCAATATGATGATACAAATATGCTCAAAAGAAAGTTGAGTTTGGAAGCTACTGATGGTACTACAATGCGTAAAAAGCAGAAAAAAGAAAATATAAATTCATTTATAAATGGTACGACTAGTGAAGAATGTACAAGAATTACAAAAGAACATGAAATGAAAACACTTCAAGATTCTCAAGGTGATACATAAACTAAATATTTAAAGTTAATTAAAATTGTTATATATGTTTTTTTATGTTATATATAATTACATATATATATTTTTTTATAAATATAGAAACCAACAACAAAGATGAAAAGAAGAAAGAAGATGAAATAGATATGGATAAACAGATAGAATATTTGGATGGAAGAATTTTTAAAGAAAGCTTTAATTCTGTAAATGGCTTAGATACATTAAAAAAATTTGTAAAAATGTGCAATGAAAATAAGAGAAGAGATTTTGCTGCAGAATATCTAGATGCAGGTGGTAATATTTTGGAAATAATAAAATTTTTAACTGCAGAAAAGAAAGGAGTTCGTGATACCATTACTGTATTTTCTGCATTAAAAATATTATTAATAAAGTAAGTATTATATAATTGTAGCTTCAAATGTGCTCTTATTAATCAATACTTTTTTAATTGAACAGTTAATTTCTTTTGTATTTAGAATATTATCACAGTATCCACAGTATCAATCTAGTGCAGAAGCAGCATGTCGCCATTTGATTAATTCACATTTATCAATAATTCATTCAATGTTGTCTATACAAAGTAATGCGAAACAACAAAAAGTAGTTTTACAACTACTTGCTGCAATAGTTTCATTTGGTGGAAATCTTCCACGTGAATTACTCACTCATTTGTCTTTACCAATGGAAGTTATTAAATCTCTTGTGCAACATACAAAACCTACAGATGACCAAAATACAAGGAATTGTTTTATTCATTTTATTTTGGCTTTCTTAATAGATGGAAGTACACCGATTATTAGAACTCTTTTAGACAAACGTGATTTGTTTTATAGTATATTTCCTGATTTAATATATGATTCTAAAGATATTATTGTGTTAGTTTTAACTACTTTTAAAATTCATATTCTTCAAAATCTAAATATTAGTAAAACTATGAAGTTACAACTATTTCCAATATCAATTATTCAAAATTTGGTGAATATCTACAATTGGAAAGGTCCAAATAATTGTCCAAAACTCAAAAATCGGAGTTTTATTTCAGACTCGCAAAATGTTGAAGAAAAACAGGTATTTTATATCAATAACAAATTTCAATTATAAATTATATGTATGAATAATAATTATAAAATATATTTTAATTTAGATAGTTACTGAAGTTGTACATGATTTTTTAATTTTATTGTTAACATCACATCGATATGGTATTGTTTTTCATGATCATATGCTTGGTACTTCACATATAAAACATAATCATGTGATAAATACAATACTTCAAAATATAGACAGACCTTGGGAATATGAAAAACCATCGAATTTAGTAATTAAAATAATGACAGCATGTCCTGATTTAATTAAAGCACAATTTATTCGTTTGGAACCATACATCGAACCCAGAGTTTCATTAAAATGGATCAAAGCGATGAAATTTGTAAAAGAGGTAAATATTTTAGTTCATTTCTTATCGTAATGCTTTTTTAAATGTTCATATTAATCAATTTTATTCCAGACAATACAAGCAGTAGATGTAGATATTTGTATAAAGACATGTTCGTTAGAATTAAACGTATTACAATTAGCAAATGCAGTATTATCTATAACTTTGCCAGGAATAATTTTGAAGCAAGCAATCATACCATCTTTGTCTTCTTCTAATGTAATAACACAGCATGAAGCAATACTTACACTTACGTGTATGCTTCATCAGATACAGAAGTACTTATCAATATTAAAAACAGTTTACAAGGAAGATACTGATTTCTCCACTTTTAAGAACTGTGTAACAGAATATATGATAAAGGTATACATATATTTTCAAAAAAACATAAATTAAAAAATCAAAAATTAGTTTTTGAGTAAATTATAAAATGCAATAATAATAATAATTTTGTTGGAATATCTTTTTTAGAATGTACCTAATGTAAATATGGTCTTGAATATGTGGAGCAATGCTTTCAGTTCACACACAAGTCCAATTGAAAATAATAATAATGATATGGAATGTATTTTGGAACCAAAAAAATATGAATACTTGACGGTTATTTTAAATTTATTGCATCTGTACAATGAAATATGTCCAAAATTATTAGATACATCAACTGATATACCATGTGATACATTTTTAAATACATTGAATAAATTAGAAGAAGATACCAACGTTGATGAATTTAATGCCATAAAAGCAAAAGCTATACAATTTCTAGTTATATTGCAACCTTATAAATTTTCACCGCTTAAAGTAGGTAAAATATAATTTGTAGGAATTGCAAATATTTTTTTTATATTTATTATATTTTCTTTAAATTTATAAATTATTTCTTTTTAGAAAATATTTAACGATGTATTATCATTTTTGATATCTGCTTTAAATGAAGAAACATCTTCAACTACATTATGTGTAAAGGCAACAATCAGAGTTTTGTTAAATGCTACTGGAATGTTTGAAGGATGTAGCGACCACTTAGATATTTGGATTAATGGTTTCATAAATTTAGACGATAGAAAGAAATTAATAAAATGGTTTATTTCTACTGTAAAGAAAACTGCTAAAGATATCGAAAAATATGTAAATGAAATAATTAGAGCTGAAGAAGTTATTAATCAAGAAGTAGTTCATGTTGGCAAATTACAGGACATATTTAATGGTGAGTTTTTTTTATTATTATAATTGATTTTATTTTTAAATATATCGAATATATTATAAGAAATTATTCTTTTTGTATTTTATAGAACTTGCAGAAAAGTCTGCTATTTACCAAAATTTGGAAAATAACATTTTGCCTATGCAACATTTCACATCAATATCACCTCTTTTATGTTGCATGTTACATGAAATGAAGGAAGATTCACATCTTTCGATATTATCTTATTTATCTTACATTTTAATACATACGTTGCATTATCAAGTAATGCCTCAATGTTTAATACATTTAGCTAAAGATATACCAAAATTACCAGTAAAAGAGTATTTATTAAGTTGGTTAGAAGACAATCAATCTGTTTATATTAAAAACATAGTTCCTTCAATGACTTTAGTATGTAAATTAAATTCAATGTTTTTGAGTGATACTAAATTACACGTGGATCAAATATTTGATGGTAACAATATAGTTACTTTTCAGTATAATAAGGAGATTATAACAATTCACCATTCTTTATCGAGATATGAAATTATATATTTGTTTAAAATGACTATGTTCTATTTAGTACAACACACTAAAAAAGGTGTTTTGACAAAAATACAATTTGATAATTATAAATATTTTTTAATATTATTATTGCACATTGCAAAGGATAGTTCAAATAGCTTTATTCTTTTGGAAGAATGTGCAAAATCGATTTTTACTCATCCTACTATTTTACATTATTTTTCTCCAGTTTATCAAAGAAATAAAATTGTTGTAAGAAGTATGATTACTCTTATAGTTACGGATATTTGTAGTGTATTAATTGACTTGCATAAAAAATATACTAGAAATCTATTTATTCATTTCAAAAATAAGTTACTTACACAACTATGTAAAATGATAGACAAAAGACAAAAAGATGGAAAAATAAATAGTCTCGATATGATTATTACCTTGTTAGAGGTATTACAACCAACATCAAAAGATATTGTACATTTATTAAAGAAAATAGTACAATTGGAGGATATCATGTTTGTCTCAAACGATGAAAAATGTTTATCAATATATGGACATACAGTTCCTAAGCTTTTAGAAATCATTAATGCTAATGAAATGAAATCGGAGCGAAATGTATTTTTTGAGTTGGATGCAAAATTTACCAGAAACTTGTGTTTACATTTACTTTTTCTAAAACTGAAATTAATTACCAATTTTGAAATATGGGAAACAACTTTATGCAAATATCTTTCAAATTTTTCATTCAATATTGGTGGTATTGATGCAGGTAAGTTATTTTCATAAAGTTTTACGTTATTGCATTATTTTATATTATTATTATATATTTAATATAACAATATTATTATGTTCATATAATTTATATAATTGCAGATATTTTTTTGTCATTGTTATCAACGAAAATTATGGACACAACTGTAAATTTAATTTCATTTTTAATTGGAAAAAATATAAAATTTATACCTATTTTTATAGAATATATAAAAAAGTCGGAAAATATGGAAAAAGCTAACATTGTGTTACCAATAGTTGCAAGTAATTTAAATTTTAAATGGAATCAAGATTTTTTACAAAGTTTGAAAAAACGTTATAAAGCTGAAATTGTATCTTATTTGTGTGATCCTAAAAATGCAGAATCTTGGATAGAAAAAAATGACACTGCAATTTGTTATTTAATTAAAACTACATTTAATCTTAAAATGTGCAATGATATATGTAACATGATTTTACAAAGTGGTGATAAATTGGATGCAGTATCTATACACTACATAAAAATTCTTCAAAATATGTACAACAAATTTGCTGTCTTAGAACCGGAGAGCGAAAAACTTATTATGAATTTAATACAAATTTTTCTTCATATAATTACTATGACTTTAAAAAAGGAGTCTAAGAACGTTCAAAAACTTTGCATCCTCTGTGAAGTATTAAACGATGCTGTTAAACATTTAAGAGAAAAAATAAAAGTTTTTGAATTTGAGGCGTTAAGTACCAATCATTTATGGTTACAATTTACACGATTTTGTTTAAAATTTGGGCTCAAAGGATCAAAAAAAGATAAGGAAGTAGTACCAATAATAAAAACTTTAAGCATTTTATGTGATATTACATATAGAAATAATAGTAACAATGAACATGTCAAAACTTTGTTTGAGATGGTAACTTCTCATTCCGAATTTATTAATATTATGTTGGAATCGTCAAATACTAAAAGTATGTATTTATATAACGTATGTATGTATATATATAATGTATTTATATGTATTTATATAACAACAGTAAGGTGTTACATTAGATTAATATGTTTAATTATTTTATTTTTTAGGAGATTTAATAGAATTGCTATGGATTCTCATACAAAAAAATAAAGAAGTTATGTCACTAACACATGTACCTGTTTATTTAGCGGCATATAATGCTACTTTAAGCGAAGCTGATCAATTTATTTTATTTGTAAGAATAAATGAAACAAATACGAGAAAAATTTATACCGGGTTTTGAAAAAATGTTTACGTATACATTTATGTATTTCAGATTTTGCAGTATTACGAAAGTAATAATATCAATATCTACAAATATCAGCCGTATGTCTGGGGAAATATGGCCACAACGTATTACAGCGTGAAAAGTGAAATACATTTGAGTTTATGGAGGCAACCATCTGTTATGCAAGTTTTAAATTTATTTGAAGAAGATATAGTAAACAGTACTATAAAGGAATATCCTGTGGATAGAGATTTGAAGGTGGTTCTCAAATACTAAAAATATTAAAAAATTTATATAACATATTTGAATTATTTTTTATTTCATAGGATAATGAATTATATAGAGCAAATAATAATGTATACGACCCAGCATTTTATTTACCGTTATTATATTTTCTATTATCAGAAAATAATGTCGTATCATGTTATAAAGTTGCTCAAAGTGGTGCACTAGCCTTAACATTTGCTGCATGTAGCAGCAAGCATTCTAATGTTCGAATGATAGCTTATACAATTATTGCAAGATATTACACTCATTTGGAAGCTTCTAGGTATTTTATAGAAAGTTATTTATATATAATGTCATATTTGATGATATAATATATATTTATCTTTTTTTCGTTCACAGCTCTAAAACAAGATTATTATGGATGCGATTAATAGATGCATTGCGTTACGGTATTATATCACAACAATCAGAATTCAATAATATACGTATAAATTGTTTAGTTTCCACGTTCTTGGCAAAGACGTCTTTGATTACTACGCAACCATTGCATCCTCTTTATTCAGTCTTACAGATATTTTTGGTAGCTAAACCAGCATTAGATATAAACACGATACCTGAATTGTTGCAACTTTTACATAGTTCTGATATAGAGCATAAAATACATAGATGTTGGATTTTGGAAAATATTCGCGATAGTATGAAATCAGAGGCTGAGTTAGACATAGCTTTTAAATGTGTTTTGTTTAAAATGCTTTTTGATTTTTATATTTCCAGTCTCTCAGATTCAAATACGAAGGTAAGACTTAAAAGAACGTTGAAGCAATAATTTTCTGTTTTAAATTGATCTAATGTATTTTTATTTCAGAAACTTATTTTGGAAATCATTGATGTCACATTAAAAATTAGGAAAGCCTCTATACTTTTTATAGAGCACTATGGAATATTCCCCTGGTTATTAGAAGTTTCAAGGAATTTGCACAAACAAGAAACAGAACATTTTGAATTAATAGTAAAAATGATGGACAAACTTCTAAATACTATATTGAATATGAAAGGCGATATTACCCATTACAAATTAATGCTTTTAAATATTGCATTATGTTTAAAGTCATGTTTATTTACAGATATTAGAATTAGAGTTTTTATATCATATATCAATATTTTGCAAAAATTACTGCTCTCGAGACATATGAAAATAATTGTTACCAAAGAATATATACTAGAAATTGTGGAGTTTTCGAGAAAGATATTAGATAATATAGAGGAATGCGATGACATGCTACGTTTCGGTTGCGAGTACGTAACTAAAATAGATTGTTCAAAAGATGACGATGAAGTCCAAGTAGCAAAAAATAGCTTGAGAACATTAGTATGGACGTGGTGTGCCCACGAAATAAATTAATTTGTAATTTTTGTACATTTTTTAAACATTTGTATGTAATGAAATTATATTTGTCGAGTGTATTTAAATATTATTCTATATATTACATCATTTATAGTAGCAAGAAGAACTTCAATTACTTCTTGGATAAAATGTGTGTACAAAAACGTCTGCATTCGGATCTCTGAACATTCCTTGATGGTGCCTTAGTACTATTGTAACACGAATAATGTCTAAATGTTGTGAGACTGCGCGACCATTCCTGTATTCTTTCATTTGCGGTAGAACAAAGTGATTTCTTTGTAAATCGCTTCGTGACAACGTGACCACGCGAGATGTCGCGCCGCCGTTCAATTCCTCCATAGCACGTCTTGCTTCTGCATGTGTTAAAGTAACATGAGCAACATTATCTTGATCGGTTCTGCTTAAAAAACCAGATTTCATTGATGATGTTGTTAGAGAATAGTTTTCAACGCTATCTGTTGGCCCCGTAGCATTACTATTGGACGCGTGTCCCCTCGGATGACCGTAATCTCTACACTCGTGACACAAAACATTTTGCGAATTGTCAAGAATGATACGCGCTGCTCTAGGTGATGTACCAACGTACCGAGCACCGCCTATCATCAATGATCTTCTATCATTACTCGAGGCAAGTTTATTTATTTGACTAATTAAATGTTTCGTATTTTTCGTTAGAAAATCAATAATATTTGTTCTTAGATCGTTCGTGTTCTTTCCAGTTTGAGCAGCGATCACTGAAAATAGACACGCGTTTAAATCCAATTCAACGTTACTAGGATCTTTATCGTCCATTAACGTCCAATGTCCTATAGAATCGGGTAATTGAGTATGATACTCTACATCGATAAAGTTCTCGGTTGAATTTCGATTCGTTTGATCATTTATCGTTTGATGTAAGCATTTCGATTTCCATATACGAATAGACTTTCCTGTTATAGTACTTATGGCGTTTATGTGTATTAAATTTCCCGGCCCGTAATTTCTCAAATCATTAACAAGATATTTAGCTAGTTTTATTTTCCATAATTGGTTGTTTTTTATATTTCGGTACCTACCATTCCATCTGCGATTTAAACGTATATTCCTATCGCGCTGTTTTTGATCTTCGGAGTCATCGTTATTTAAAATTTCGTTGGTACCGGGCATTACCTCCTGCCTTTATTCGTAATGCTCTTTTAAATTTCTACCGCATTTTGGTTGCTTTTTATTCGAATGTTTCTCTGTTTCTTTCGTCCATTTTATTATTTTTTTCTTTTTTCTTCGCAAAATGGAATGAGATGCTTACATTTTCTAATGAAATAACAACCAATAACATTAATCGGAGGATTGAATAATTCAAGGAGAAAGAAAAATTAAGATCAATGGATGAAAATTATTTTATTGAAAAATTATTGTCGAGATAGAATCAGTGTGAAAATCAAACGGCATATAAACAGGGTCCGTTGTTGGAAAAGTAAAGAACGAAGAGCTATAATAAGCGGAAAAGTACCTTAATATAAAAATAGCACATCCTGAAGATTTGTACCTGCCATAATTTTTTTTGTTAATGATATACCAGAATTTCGAATTTTGCGCCAGATATTTGTGGATGCAGTTACATTTTAAATTTTCGGTTTAAATCTTCATCCTTGTTTCTGCTATGCTCATCTTTTTTTATTTTTGTTTCTTAATTTATTGCATATTTCAGTCAACAAATGTAGTGTATCGATCATTTGACATTGGTAAAGGAAATGTTTAGTTTGATATATACAGGATCAGTTATGCAGTCCATGCTTTTAAACAAAAGTATTAAGTACAATTAACTTTTGGAAGACATACGTAATCACTAAAATCTTTAAAAAGAAAAAGAAAATTAAGTCAGCGAAAATTTTCAAACAATTGAAAAATTGCATGTTGCATTTTAAAGGATGTAGAATAGAGTTTCTTTAAGGATATTAAATCACGCGAAAATATTTGTGAATGTTCCTCGATATTTATTCTCGAGGAACTGTACACTGTATCGGATTCATTTAAATTCACGTTTCAAATTCGAACGGTAAGAACTATCAAAAATTATTCTACATTTTTCATTGAACGCTTATTTATATTTTATTTAATTTTCTGGTGTTCTTTTTATGCATCAAAAACGACGATTCAATTGATTCTTAATTAGTTAAAATTAACCGAACAGTCATGATTAACTGACAATGATGATGAACTTAAACAGGTCACGATTTTTCTTTTATTACTGATATATTATTCTGGAGACAAACGTGTTTGGATAATAGAACATTTCTCTATAGTAAATTTTAAACATAAAATATTAAAATATTTTTAGTTTTTTAGCTGCACGTTGCGTAAACAGTTGCTTGAAATTGTGTGCTTCTTGTACTTTACGCCATCCTTCCTTCTTGTCATTCTCATCCTCGTTGTATAGATAATTCTCAACTGATCGTTCTATATATTTTTACATCACTAATTTTTTTGGTTTTGATTCTCTAATTGTCTATTCTTCAACTTTTTAATAATTTTATATTATTAGTTTTAATTAGCAACACTAATTCGTTAAAATGTTGCGAAGAAATATTGTTTTGACAATGATTACGTTCAATGATTTTCATAAACGGAAATAAATATCGCTACTTTGCGATGAAAGTAACGCATACTTGAAAAATGTATGTAACTGTAAATGTATGTAAATGTAATAAATGTAATAAATGTAAATGTATGTAAATGTAATAAAAATGTATGTAAATGTAATATTCCGAAACATATTCCACTTCTATTTACATTAATGTCTAGATTATTTCATGCATTTACATACATGTATATTACGTATTAATGTATTAATATTATAATACATTATTAATACATTAATGTAGTAAAGTAAACGTACGGTACAATGCTTTCTACAGTCTTTCCACTGTACAATGCGCAATCATTCAGTCTCAAAAAGCGCGCACTTTTCAGTATCCCAACCAACTCCCGTTAACCTTTTGCGCTGGAATTTTTTTGCTTCCCCTCCCCCCCCCCCCAAATTGCAACGTTTTCTCAATTTTTATGTACATTTAAGTACAACCCGGGCAAAGTAAATAATAAATTTGTTCTCCAATAATTTCTATCCACCGATATATAACTATTGTTTACAGTTTTGGTCACTCGTTACGGTCCGCAATCAGTGGTTAATCTCAGGGGTGGGGGGGGAGTTCGGAATAGTCCCGAGGATGGACGTCAGTTCGAGAAATGTCGGAAATCGCGAGCTGGAAAGCACGGACGTGAAGCACGACGACGGGAATAGAAAGTACGAGGGGGAAGGGGGGATCGGTTCCCGAGTTTGCATTTATTGCGGCGAGCGTGTTGCTCGGGAGGCGTGCACCGGGAGAACGAGGAGAAATCGTTCGCTGCCCCGAGGAGAAAAAGGGGGTTTAAGGGCCAGGAGAAAAAGGAGACCGTTGGCGGCGGTTGGAAATGAGCGAGGAATCGAAAGGCAGAAGGGGGTGATCCCACGGGGAAGAGACGTGGTGGGGATCGTTTGGATCCTCGCTCGATCCGTCCCGTGGATCCATGGATCAGTCTTGGTGCAACAGTCCCTTCGAGCTGGTTGCCGGTCGCCGCGGTTGTCGCGTCGTCGTCGTTTTCACACTCGTCTTCTTCTTCTTCTTCGAACGAAACGGGCGCGAGCTGATTTTTTTTTTTTTACTCATGTTGGCCGTTTTCGCTACCGCGTTCGTTTTGGCAACGATTATTGCTGTTGCAAATACTACTTACGACCTCGAGTTCAGTTTGGTGAAACAACGACGAAATGGTTGATCGAGAGCGATGCGTGTAGCGTCCATTGTCCGTTATTTTTTAATCGTGCGGAAGAACCTCGCAAGAGGTTCTCGCGGCATTGAAACATTGAACGCCGACGTGTCTTTCGGTCTGAAAGTTTGGTGATCTGAATCGTGGCAACGTGTATCAATTGGTAATCACATCCGCGACCAACGATAGTATTTTTGGCGAGTCATTTTCCACGAGGTGAATTCATTTTGTATTTGTGAATTGTCGTTCACGATGAGCAATTACGACTTTGGATGCGAAGTTCATTTTAATCGGACGTGGATTCTTTTTCCTTTTTTGTTATTTTTCGGTTGAAACGGTCAATGTTTCTTCGAAATTCGAATGTTACCGGATTTGGTAAATTGGGACCGAGAAGGAAGCACTTGGTGTTCGATTTTTATTCATTTTCATCAGGCATATATTGTCACTTCGGAGGATATAGTCGGTGACACTGACGCCGCAACGAACATGCTCGATAGAGTGATATCAATGCCCGCATGAGGAAGTTGCGGCGATCGATTACTTTGTTTAAACGGATTTTTGTACACGTGTCAAGAGTATTTCTCACATAACATATGTTGAAAATATTCGACCAGTTGTTTCGAATACATTGAAATTAATTTGAAAATTCTCGAATTCATTATTGTATTATATTTCTCTTAAAGAAAAAAAGAAAACTTTCTTACGTTACAGTAGCAATATTGTTTCTTTTTTGTTCAAATATTTGTTATCGTACATGAAAAAAAGTGGTAACCTTTATGTGAAGAACAAAATTGTCGTTTTTTTTTTTTTTGTGTATGTGTGTGTGTATGTGTGTGAAATTTTCGTATTTCGAAAACGGTGTCTGTGACGACAAAGAGTGAAAACGCAATCGGTACAATCGGTCGAGAGTAAAATAATTGTTTCTCTCCGTGTGATTAGAATAGTTTTATTGACGAGTGGTTGGTGATGTGCCTTCGAATCTATAATTGACGCAGTTTATTGATGATATGGTGTGAAACACATGATCGCGTTTGGATTACGAGTATCTGGAAATTCACTTTCGACGAGTCATGTATGGCTGGTGAGTAAATTAATAACATTTCATTTAGGTTCTTCGAATATATTACTGCCGTAAAAGAAACATATGAATAGTATATAGAGGACTTATATTGTTAGGTTTTGATTTAATACTATACTTTTTGTATATTCTAATATATTCGGATATTGTTAATATTAAAATCTGTCACTGTGAGCGTTGTTGACCTTCGAACAATCCAGCCTTGATCTGAATGATATTGACAATATAACCACGAAGGGACATCAGTTCGTAATAAATAATAAAGCATTAATAGCATAAAAACGTAGGATGAATAGCTAAAGGTAAAGAATTAAATTTTTTTATGACGATCCATATTCACTTACTGAACAAATTTAGTATTTACAATGATAATATATTTATAGATGCGTTATTATCATTAAATATAATAAATGTATTATATAATATTACATATATTAATGCAATACATATATTATTAATATAAATGAGTATCCATACGTATCTTCTGTCTCTTTGCTGCAATTTATTTTATTACTTATTAATTTATTATTAATTATATTATATAATATTATATATTATAATATAATATAATATAATTATGTAATATATCAATGCAATACATATTATTATTATAATAATATGAGTATCCATTCATGTGTACGTTTCTTCTTTCTCTTTGCTCCAATTTATTTTATTACTTATTAATTTATTATTAATTATATTATATAAAATTATATATTATAATATAATATATTAATGTAATACATATTATTAATATAAATAATATGAGTATCCATTTCACGTGTACGTTTCTTCTTTCTCTTTGCTCCAATTTTATTACTTATTAATTTATCATTAATTATATTATATAATATTATATATTATAATATAATATATTAATGTAATACATATTATATGAATAATATGAGTATCTATTTCATGTGTACGTTTCTTCTTTCTCTTTGCACCAATTTATTTTATTACTTATTAATTTATTATTAATTATATTATATAATATTATATAATATTATATATTATAATATAATATATTAATGTAATACATATTATTAATATAAATAATATGAGTATCCATTTCACGTGTACGTTTCTTCTTTCTCTTTGCTCCAATTAATTTTATTACTTATTAATTTATCATTAATAATATTATATAATATTATATATTATAATGTAATACATATTATATAAATAATATGAATATCCATTCATGTGTACGTATCTTCTTTCTCTTTGCTTCAATTTATTTTATTATACAAAAACACAATAATAACACGTACACCAACACACAGCA